TTTGCATCTATCAAAAGAAAACTTCATACCTTTCTTCTGGGACAACTGAATTGTCAGGAGAATATGGTTAAGACCTAACTTGCAAAGAATGCAACCCTGTAAATGTAGGAAATCATTACAGTTCTTTTTTATTTTATTGTAAATAAAAAATCACATTGATACGTCCATGAAGATGAATGACACATCTGGAACATCACACAGACTTCTTACTTTTTTCCTCCTTAGTCCCTCTCTTTTTACTGTATCACCCTCTGCTCTGTTCTTAGTTCTTTCCCTCCTGTTCTTATCTTTTATTTAGCTTTCTTTTTCATCACTTCTTTGGGTTGATTCCTCCTCTCTGGATCTTCTTTCTTTTTTTCTTTCCAAAACTCTTATTCCATTTAATTATTTACCTTCTCTCAGTTATATGGTTCTTTTTCCAGACTTACTTCTTAGAATTATCCATTATCTCTGTCTGGTTTATTCCCCACTCATGCTTATTATCACTCTAATCTTTAATCTGTCCCTCATCTCCCGTCTGTTCATTATCTTCAGGTTGTCCATCTCATCCTGTTACAGACAGACCATGTTGCTTCTTGCTTCCCACATAAGAAAAAGAAATATTTTAGCTGGCCAGCTTTTCTTGATTCCACTATATCTTTCTCACACCACTTCTCACTTCATAGTGAATGGTAATAACAACTTTAAAATATCATTTAAAAAAAAGCCCAAACCCAAACCCCCAAAAAATCTCATAGTCCTGGATCTGTGAAAAAAAGACAGGGCCACTTAGCTTTTGTGTGAGGTACAAATGTAGAGGCTTGCTTTTATTGACTGTTTCATCTTGCTGCTGTTGCTGACATTCCAAAGAATTTATATGTTTCAATGGTCTTTATGCTCTTTTAAACATAGACACTCATAGCAGCTGTTGAGAACAGAGGAATCACTAAGAACAGTCTGGAGACAGCCCACTGAACTGACTAAGGAACTGAGAAATATTCTGTGTAAAGGAAAAAGAGCACAGGAGCAATATTTTATACAGCTTTTTTATTTTAGAGGAGGTTTTGGGTTTTAGAAGCTGCTAAGCAATTTCAACATTTGTGGAGTAGCCAATTTGCTTTGAGATCACTTCCTAGAGTGTGACTGAATAGAAATGACTCTTTGTCATGTCAGAATTTCCTACATTTTTGCAAGTTAATGCAAAAATGGCCAGAAGAAGCATCTCATTCATTTTGGTGAGGTTTTTGCCTCTGGAAGAAAATTATGGCATAAGAATTTGAGACTATAGATCCAGGCACATTTGGAACTGGCAAATTGTACAGACAAATCTCTGAAGCAATTTGAAACAATACTTATTTAAGTATTTTTAGATCTTTAATTTAAAATCAAGCTTGGAAAAGGAAGATTCCTAGATTTTCTGCTGCTTGGGGAGCAAGAGGCTACCAAAACACTTTCTGTACAAGTTGAGTTAGAGGCATAGGTGCTAGAAGTAAAGTTTTCTGGTAAGAGTAGGTTAGAATATTGCTTCTTGCAGTACCATTGTACTGTAGGTTTTTGACTTACAATTTTGAATATTTCCTTGACTAGAATGTTTTGATTTACAAGGAAAGCATAAAACACAGGAAAGCTAGTATGCTGGGTTGGGGCAGAGAAAATGTGTGACTGCTAGCAAATAGTTTCCAGAACATCTACTGTCTGAACAAGCTAAAGCACATGAAACTTTTCAAGAACTGGCTTCACCCCCAAATTCCTGGTTCAATTTTCATCTTCACAGAGAATGAAGTTACAGTGCTATATCATGTGTTAAGTTCTTTATGTTTTTATGTGATATTTTGCAACCTAATAATAAAAACACTTGGAAATCTGTAGCTGTAAAGCTACAAAACTATATGAAGAAAAAGGTAGTGTTTAAAAAACCCGATAGTTTGTTGTTCTTTTGACATGATTTTGACATCTTTTTACTCTTATTTCTTTTGACATTCTTTCATTCCTGAGGAGACAAAAATTAAACTTTAACACTCTTCCACTTTTTCTCACAGAATAAAGTAGAATTTCATTCTATAACTTTAAAATGAGAAATATTTTGTTAGTATTTGAATTTTCCAATTTTTCTCCTTTTTCATTAAAAAAAATTGCTTTATGTAACTACTGCTCTAGAAAATTAGCATTTATGACCAACAGTGAGCCTTTTTCTACTTTTTTTTTTTTTTCAGCAGACTTCATTTTAGGATGATCATCTGCATGATGTTTTATGCTTGGTAACTACTTTCAGAAAGGTTTGTTGAAAGATTGATCCATATGCTGCATGTAGACAGGTACTGACCTGAAGAATTATTTCTGGAATGTGTAGATTTGCAGTGTGCAGGATGTGTCAGGCAGTGATGCAGGTAATTAGTGCCTGATGTGACAACACAATGGTACCATAGCCACAATGTCTAAACTTAATAGAATGCATATGAGCCTTGAGATCCTGTGACAAAAATGAAATGAACTAACCCTTACTATCACTTCAGTAAGGAACTAGCAGGGAGATATTAAAAAACCCATAAATGTTGGAAGCCTCTGAAAGCTAGTGAACCAGTTTCCTTTAGCTGAAGTGACAATGTCTGCCAAGATATCCAAGGACCCACATTTTCCTCTTCAGAGCAATTAGTCAATCAGTATCTTCATAGACCTACCAAAAACCATGTCCTACTTCATATAACTGTGCAAGAATTATTTTAAGTGATAAGGTTACTACAGTTGAGCTTAGCAAAGATTTTTACAATCAGCTTGTACACTGTTTGAGTCACTAGCAGCATGCTAAGAAATGTCAACAGTAATTAAACCCAATCATTTTCAAATACATGCCATGCTTTGGCAATGGTGAGGAATGCTTTTCACAGTAAGAATTCTCATCCCTGTGAACATAGAATTTTTTATTTTTTTCTTTTTATGGGAATATTTTTCCCTTTTTCTTTTGGCAACACCATTTTGGAAGATGTTTATTCATTAAAGGAATTGTATCAAAAACTACATGTTTCTTCTCTCAGCTTGTCACAGTTCTTACTGGGCTTGCATTTAAGGATTGTCCCTGTTTGTAATTCTGAGTACATAGCATGGAATTTATTTTAAAATTTTGTGGAACTCTTTGGCAAAACATCTGAAAATTTACTGAAAAGTGACATTTCAAAATAGTGAAATGAAATTGTGTTCAGGGTTTGGCAAGTACTTTTGGAAAAATAAAAACAAATTTGCAAATGGTTAACAACTTGGTTCTAAAATAAAACATTTAAATGTTGTTTCCATTTGCAAAGAAATGAAGAGGACAGTGGCTCCCCTACATCCAGTTCATTTAACTCTTTGTACTGTACTGATGTAGTAATTTAAATACATGACCTTGTCGTCCCAGGTAAGCTAATTAACAAGAGAGGTGTGAGGTGCTTCAGGACAAAATTTCTCACACAAAGGTGTGAGGTTTGTAACTGAGGCAGTGTCAGGGACCTGGACTTTTCATTTGCTAGAAAGGTCTCTTTGGCCACTGTCATACGTAATAAGTACTTGGTTGTTGTAATAAAAATGTAACAGAGACAGCTGAAAACATCCTTATCCAGGATACTCATCTGGAGACAGTAGAACTGCAAGTATTCTTTTCACAACAGGGCCAAAGTCCATTTTTGAGAGTCTGAGAGGTATGGTGAGGTGTGGTGTGCAAGATTTGTATGTTCCTATCTATGTGCCAGTAAGCTCTGGCTCACCTTACTCAAGGGATAAATGTAGTGCTCAGTGCTGTCTTGGCACAATTTTTCAGCTCAGAATAGGCACTGCAGTTGCATACCTCTGACAGTAAGACAGAAAAACAAAAAATGAAGGCTTTTGTACTGGTTTGCTCACATATTTATCCAGTTGAAACCTACTGTTTTTCAAAGTTACGTTAACACTGAGTATGATGTTGAAGGTTGAATCTTGCTCCTGCTGGAGTCAAACGCCAAACATTTGTTTATCTTGGCTAGGGCCAGTGTTTTGTTGTTATGAAATGTCAGCTGTCCCCCACAGACAACAAGTAGCTTCTAAAGTGATAAAGAACTTCTCTTACTTTCTGGTAAAATAGTTTGGAAATTGTAAAATTGGTTAATGAGAGGTTTCTGTCAAGGAATGTTCTCTTAGCTCCAACTTTGGACAATATTTAGCTTTACTGTAAACTTCTTACAATCATCTCAAATAAATAAAATTAATTTGGATTACCCTTTTAGAAAAGTGCACTGATGACATAATGACAACAGGAGAATACACTAATGCCATTTAAGTGAAGTAATATAATAATAAAATTTTTGAATGCCCTCATACCAGAATTGGCCACTTAGAAAGTAGAGTAGTTCACATTAAATACAAAATGTTGAAGAAAGAATTAAGAAATATCTTATGAAAAAGTTTATCCCTTTTTGTGCACTTAATGCACATCAAAATTAATTTTATGTTGCAATTTTTAAATTACTTTAACTCATTAGAAACGTTAAGAGAACCAATGCAAACTTCACACTCCCTTAGTACCTACTGCTGTTTTAACTGATATATATTTTGATGTATTACTTATTGGTATTCGTACAAAAATCGTGAAGACCGTTTTTAAAGTCTTCATTACTTTTATATAAAAAAGTATGATATAATTATGCATTAAATTCTATGAGGTTCATGCAAGTACTTCTGGTATGAATGAATCAGTATCTTGAGAGAGATAAGATCTCAGGGTTAAAATACATATTTCCTACCTGGAAGTAGCATCTTTACAACCAGTAAGAGTATGTTTCATAAACTTTGAACCCAATATAAGAATCTTTAAGGTCGATCATTCTTCCAGAAAAAAACAAAAAAATTTGGTAGTAAATTCATTATTGCCTTTAGCTCAACACAAACTTGTTAAAGAAGTCTGGATTTTTCAATGCCAATACCTAAATTTAAATCAAGAGACAGTGTTCAACATGTGCCTACTATGATCTTTTTCTCCTTTAGTGGTTCTAGCATGCCATCAATGAAATATTTACCTGACTAGTGTGGCTCTCCCTGTGCCTTTGAATCGATGAGCCTGCTGTAGTGCTGGCCGACAGTCTGGAATATTCATTTTCCTCTGGTAATCCTAAAGCAGAAGAATAATAATTTCAATCTGAGATTTATGCACTGGTTGATTTCAAAATAAGATTCAAAAGACCTTAATATGTTTTACTAAAAAAGAAACAAAAAATCTCAAATCACACATTTCCTGAATATTTACTATTTCCATTGCTCACTGAAACAGAACAATTCTTTTTTACCATGTAGGGATAGCATCATAGGTATGCACGCTGCTTGACAAGGAGCAATTGTAACTAAAGAGCCTGCAAATAAAACTTTACCTCTACATTGGCCAGGGATTCCTCCTGCAGTGCAGAAATCCCTGGCTCCTCTTCCCCTGGCTTTTTTTCATGACAGAAGCAATGCAATGGGAACAAAAACCATGCTGCAGCATTCTGCTCTCAAATTAATATCTCTGTGTCACACAAAAAGTCGATATTAGGTCCAGGATTCAAAACTTCATCCCCTCAGTATAAAACATGGTTTTTTTTGTAAGCCTTATAATTATCATGCACACTCGATGTGGGAATTAGCTGTCAGAAATTTAGCTGTGTAAAAAGCAGTCATCCAGTGTAAAACAGCCAGGTAGCCTCCTTCTGTAGTCAAGAGAAACAAACATCTCTGCAAAGTGATCCTGTAGTGAGGCTCATTGCTTGTGCTTCCCCATCACTTCTGCAGCAGTGTGGGAATACCATTCACAAAGCACTACAGAGGATCTGAAAAGTGGGATGAAGGGAAGCAAAGGCAGAAGCAGAAACACAGGGAGTCCACGATGGGCACTATTAAACACCTCACAGTCCAGAATCACAGACACCATGGCAGGTCTGTATATTGGAATAGAATAGAATAGATGGAGATAATTTTTCCCATAGCAGCCCTCACAGTGCTGTGCTTGTGGTGGGTTGACCCTGGATGGATGCCAGGTGCCCATCCAAGCAGCTCCATCACTCTCCTCCTCAGCTGGACAGAGGGGAGAAAATATAACAAAAGGTTTTAAGTTGAGATAAGGACAAGAGACATCACTCACTAGTTAATGTGATGGGAAAAACAGACTCAGCATGGGGAAATGAACTGAATTAATTTATTACCAATCAAAATCAGAGTAGGAAAATGAGAATTAAAGCTTAAAACCCCTGAAAACTCCTCTATTCTCCTTCAGTTTCCCCCTCGTAACAGTGCCTTCCCACAGTTTTGTAACTAGGGACAAAAGGTTTTTAATTTTCTTTGTTCTTCTGAATAAAGCTCACGTAAAGTATTCATAAGTATGGATCTTTTTCTATATCATTTGGACTTCCTCTGAACACACAGACAGTGAAGAAGGCAAATCCCTTGTTTGAAGCTCAGGAACCAGATCAAATCTGAGAGAGTCCAGCATTTCAGTTCTTTCCTGCTTGCTGCAAAGGGAATCTGACCCTGTTGTCTCAGTAATTGGAACTATGTGTTGTTTTGAGATGGGATTATCACTTTTTGAAGCTGGGAAATGATATATTATGTATGCACAGGGGAAAAGTGAGACAAAAGGTCTCTAGCGTATTGCTAGTAAATTATATGTCAGTTACCACTATTGTTTTCTTATCTACATTAAATTCTCGGTACTCCAACTAAAAATTCTCCTTTTGGAAGATCACACGTTTTTGGTTGAATGAAATGCTTGAAATAAGTTTCCCTCTAAAAAAAATCCCAGTTTAATTGAATGCAAAACAACCCCCTTTTTAAAAATAATTTCCTGAACTAATAATTTATTTACATGGATTCAGTTTGGATACATCTCAAATAGAGTAATAAAAAATTATCCAAATTTTAATGCAAAGTACTTTCTAAAAGTAGGTGCTATTAATTTAATTCAAATAAAAGGTAGAATGTAAAAATATTTTCATAATTCTAGACCACCACAAATGAATAAAAACACTTTCCTAGCCAAGCAGCAAGTTCTAAATAATATATTGATTTTGTACTATGTTAATACACTTTAGGATCGACTGCCCAGGACAGCCTTGAGCTAAGAATCAGGTTATCAATGATTTTCTGTTTATTTCTGTAAAAAGCACTTCGATAATTTGCCTTATCAAATAAGTAAAGTTTCCATGGACAGCAACAGCACATTGTCACAGACATGGCAAGCAGAGGCTTGGTAGAGTTTGGAAAGACAAATGGAGTAGTTGATTACGTACTGAGAGCATACACCTCTTTTATGTGCACCTAAGTAAATATTAGGATACCACATTTGTGCACTGACTAAGACCTTGTTTAATTCAGTCCAAGGTTGGAAGCATCAGTTTAGCTGGGCCAGAGGCAAAATTACAAGAACCTAAGTTAATCAGGGGCTCAGTGTGGAGTACAAACTACACCATCTGGATTGGGCTTTCCTGCAACTATTCTCAGGTTACCAAAGGTAAGTTGAATTTGGCATATTTTTTTGGCAAATTTAAATTTGCTATACATCATTGCTGCAATTATGTGGCACTGTTTTGGGTGATATAGGATCACAACTTTCAGCATTGCAATGAAAAGGTTATTTCAGGCTTTCTGATTATTTTGTGTATCTGGCAAAAAGCTCTTTCTTTCAGACTAAGAGCTCTGTTAAATGTGAAAGATTTGTGGTGAAATGCACTATCATTGTTTGGTAGCACAGAGCTGTAGAAAGGTGCTACTCCTATCAACAATAAAGTAAAAAATAAGAGCAATTATATTAATTATAAAAAATGAAACAAACAACTACTATTTAAAATCTGAACTCAGAGAAATGTTATTTCCTTAGGGTTAATACTTTTAGAGACGTGAAACATAGTCTGTCACTGCTCTTGTACCATTTTGTATTGCAATGATAAACAATATTTCATTCACTAGTAAGGCACCTACAGCAAAGTGAGGTCCTGATTTTCTATTTTCTGTACCATTTGAATTGATTATAGGATCAGAATCTCAAATCTCAGTCCTCCATACCTTAGCCTGCTTATAGACTTGGAGCTGAAGTAATTACAAATTCCTCAACAGAGGCTGTTTCATTTTCTTCACATTCAGCTTTTATTGGAGAGGGGCTTAGCAGTTCACACATACAAAGTTAAGCCAGTTCCAGAAACAGATATTTCACAACTCAGAAGATTCCAGCCTGACTATATCTTACAAAGCTCATTCAAGGAAACACTTCAGCATTTTTATGTTAGAAGCGTTTTGGGATTAAAAACTACTTACCATTTGATACTGAATTTCCATTTTCAGCAGTCACAGAACTGGACAACGGATTAGATGACTGAGTTCCGTGGTTATTTGCATTTTTATCCTGCGTTTCTGATCCAGGATCTGATGTATTTGGATCTTCCCTGCTCCTCAAGTTCAGATTAGTTTCAGCACCTGACAAAAACAAAAAAAAATATTGTCTGCTTCCTTTTAACTAGTGGCTTTCATATGTAAGTAGGTGAAAACTAAACTAACACAGCGAGACCAAGTTACTTTATTAAATTAATAAAATTAATCACTAAATTCACAAGTCCAGTGACAAACGGGAAAGGTTTAAATCAGCTTTTTGCAGGTTTGGCTGTTTGGGGTTTTTTTGGTTTTGGTTGTTTGGTTGGGGTTTTTTTGTTTGTTTTTTTTTTTTTGTTACCGCTCTACTTGAAGCCTTTTAAAGTTTAGGGGAGTGAAAGGCACTACAGAATTTCATTTATATTGTTTCTTCTCACACAAATATCAGTAAATATAGCTCACCAAGCGTTTGTATTGACTCTATTTTAGATTCTATTTCACATGAGCATACATAGCACTCTCATCACTGCAATTCCTTTCATCATTGAACTAAAAGTTACTAGCAACAGATATAATGTGATCTTCTTTTTTTTACCACCTACCACAAGAAAGAAACTGGCTTTTGAGATTAAACCACAGTAGCAATATTCCTCCCAGCAGATCCTCCCCGTGGCCCTTGTTTACCAGCCTCAGGGCTCTCCAGCCATCAGTTGTCATTTTCTATAAAGTGCCAGCTTTTCATGTCAGAGCCTTTTAGTTCAATTTCTTCAAGACATCAAGATGAGGTCTGATCCTGCAGCAGTTTGAAAGCTTTTTACAATGCACACAAATTTGTTCAAAGAGCAGGGCAAAACAAAGCCCTTCTCTTCTTCCCCCTCGGACTGACCGCACATCCAGGCAGAGCAGAGCAGCTCCCAGCAAATGCCTGCAGCTGCCTCTGAGCCTGCCTGGCTTTGTCAGCCCAGTGCTCCACAAGAAATAGGGCTCAAGTCCTGGGCTGTGCCCTAGTGCTGCTCCCCACTGGAGCAGGGGCCAGGGACACGTTCAGAGCTGGAACACTAGATGGATGGGGATAGTAGGAGGGATCCCACTGCAATACCTGTATCCCTGCCTATCTCCTCTCCACTTCAGTGTGACAGGGCTGACAAAATGCTGCACTGGCAAGGTTATGCATTTTTTTAAGGATTTATCTCTCTTTTCTGTTTTTGTTTGTTTGTTTGTTTTTGTTTTGTTTTTTTTGTTAGTTAGTTTTAGTTTTGCATTTTTGGTTTTTTTTGTGTGTGTTGAACATATATGCTTATTCTTTCCTTGCCATAGTCAGGTTTGATTCATAGAAGACAAAGCTGAATTCGGGGCTTTCTCCATTTCAGTGTTCCTAACTCTTTCCACTCCCTCCAAGGCCTGGCTTTAGCTGCAGGGTTGATGTATTATGGCTGACCCTGGTGCAGAGGTCCTCCTGTAACACTCTAAAACGAAAATTTTCCTTCTGTGATAGCTCTGAAAGAGTTATTCCTTGATTTTGGTTGTCATAATGACAGCAAGAACCAATGGAGGTCAAAAGACTAGCTATTAAAACCAACATTACCGCATTCATCCATAGGTCCAATAACATCCTCAGCCTTCCCGAAGATATGATATATTCTTATAAATCTCAAGCACATGAAAAATTTTCAAGGGGAAGTAGAAGCATTTTTTTCACTAGGTAATAGATACTTGAATAGATACCTGAAGATTTTTCCAGCCTAATGTTGACTGTTCTGTCAGTTTTTCATTTTTATGCCTGAACTAAAATAATTCCATCTGATTTGGAAAGCATCAACATTAAAAACTTAATTAATGAAATTAAAACTATAAATCCATTCTGGTTACCTCAAAATATTTCCTTTAATTGAAAAGGTCTTTCCTATTTTTTTTTTAGCTTTTAGTTATCTAACAATTAATTGTTCTTAGTATTTCCTTGTCTAAAAAAAATCTGTCTTAAAAAAGTTCATTTTCAAACTGTCAGACAAAACATTTCCATGTTTGTTTGATTTTTGTCCCTTCCTCCCTTGCCCTCATTCCCTGATCATTATATTTTGCCAGATCTGACTGGATTGTTTCAGTGACACTGTTTCATAAAATGGATCTTTAGGCAAATGTGCTTTGTATTGAAAAAATTAGGCCAGCTCTACCCACAGCATCTGACTTGGGAGAGACTGAGATGGAAAGTCTGAGATGGAAAATGCATATGGTACAATTATAAGAGCATGCCTGATTTAGCTTTTGTACAAGCAAGTTGACTGCAAAATGCATCTTTGCAGTTCATTTTAAATTTGTCTGAAAAGGAAATGTCACTTTTAGATCTTAATAGTCAGTGCACTTGCCTATAGATCATAATCCACCTACATAATTATTGTGCCACTTTTTACATAAAGCTTCTAGGGGAAGTGTCTGGGATCCTTATTTTTTCTTGATATTCAAAAGATATATTGATTGGCCTGACATGTGTAATTCATTTGAGAATGAGCAAGTAGAAATAATTTTTCTTGCATTGCTCTTTGCAGAAGCCTTTTGTTTCATAGGTTCACTAATATCTTTTCAGGGCATTCATGAAGGGTTCTTAGAAAAAAAACCCACAATATTTTCTTCTTTATATCTGTAGAATGAAATACTACAAAGAATTGTGGACAGCAATTATTAAACTAGCATATTATACTAAATTGGCAGAAATAAGTAGTGGAATATATGCAGCATATCTTTGGGGACAGCTATCTAGACAGAAATTTGTTATCCTATTTGCCGTATTCAATAATTGTAAGAAATGCACCCCTTTAGTTTCTGAATAGAAAACTATATAGAGAAAATATATTTCATAGTGCTTTATTTAGCTGATCTTGGGGGTGGGAAAAAACCTTATATTTTATTTCAAAATAATCTGGATTATGTAAAGGTACTTGAACTAATTTCCTATATATAGGCATCTTCAGCTCCTCATTGGAGCAGATTCATGTGAGTCTGTAGAACAAGCTGAACTGCATACATCAGCAAACTTCAGCCCCTGAAACTGGCTCTGCCCCACACTGGACAAACTCCCCCTGCCCCAGCCTCTGCTCACAGGACCATGCTCCCTGAGCATGTACTGTGTCGTTTGGGCTCCTCAATACAAGATAGACAAGCTACTGGAGAGGGTCCAGAGGAGGGTCACAAAGATGATGAGGGGCTTAGAGCATCTCTCTTATGAGGAGAGACCGCAGGATCCAGGCCTGTTTAGTCTAGAGGAGAGAAGACTGAGAGGAGATCTCATCAATACATATAAATATCTCACTGGTGGGTGTCAAGAGGATGGTGCCAGGCTCTTTTTGGTGGTGCTCAGTGACAGGACAGGGAGCAGTGGCCATAAACTAAAACACAAGAAATTTTGCCTTCCACCTTCTGAGGAAGAACTTATTTACATTGAAAATGTAAAGGGGCACTGACCAGGCTGCCCAGGTGGCTCATGGAGTCTCCTCTGGAGACATTCAAAACCCACCTGGACACATTCCTGGGTAACCTGTTATAGGTGACTCTGGTTTGGCAGGGGGTTGGACTGGGTGATCTCCAAAGGTCAATTCCAACCCTAACAATTCTGTGATTCTGTGATTGCCGGAGTAAACTTGCTCCAGGTTTCCAGCACGTTTCTGCATTGGGAGGCACAAACTGTCCACAGTACCCAGATATGGTCTAACAATGAGTGCTGGGTGGAGGAATGAATGACACGGCTCTGGATGCTTTTGGCTGACTCTGCTGCCAAAGCTCACTGCCAGCTCCTGTCCAGCTCCCAGGGTCCCCAGCACCATTTTCCCAGGGCTGCTCACCAGACAGCCTAATCCCTATACCAATTGTACAAGGTAATACTTTACAAGGTGCAGCACTTTGCAGCCCATTTTTTATTAAACATTCCAGAAGGTTCTGATTTTATCTTCTGTGCAGGGATATTCCTCTCTGTCCTGCCTCCATACTATACAAAATATCCCTGAGTGTAACAAAAGTGTCTCCTGACATTTTATCATAATATTTCTATTTTAAATTCCTATTGATTGCTATTTTATCTGTCAAGTATTGATCTGAATTTCATTTTCCTCATGTTTTGTTAGTCACCTAGCATAGAAGTTTGGACTTTTGTCCTCATTAATGTCTATGTGCTCCTGTTGCCATCAGACCTTGCAGATACAAGTATGAGAGTGCTCTCTCATCCCTTATCAACTTTCTGAAACTATCAGAAATATTTTAAGAGACAGGAAAAGAAACCCTTATGGTTCCTACATTTGAACATCTTCACCAACATGATGAATTTTAGCTTTTTGTTCAGACTTCTGCTCTGCTGTTCTCACTAGATGGATGGATTATTTACCACGTTTCAATATTATTTTTTTTAAAGTAATGACATCTTTAAGAGTTTTCAGCTGGTAATAAATGTTACTTGAAGAGTCATCCATGCCTATTTGCAACAGACTAGCTACAGAGAGGTATCAGCTGTAGGAGCATGGTGAAAGTTCATGATTGTAAGAGGAATACAATCTTTAAGTGAAAATCTGGAGCCTGAAAAGGTATTTGAATTATTATTTCTATTATATAAACTGACTTTGCCAAAAAGAGATATCTGACTCAGTAACGTCCTACTCTGACTAATCTTGCAGTTAATGAGGATGTATGGACTAAAAGGATGTATGCACGTTTGGATTGAGGGCATCATTTGTCCCTCAGCTGTAGCATAGGTGCTAGCTGCGAGCAATCACATGTACAAAGCTTTTAATCAGAGGATGAAAAATCAAAGTGTAACAATTATTTCCTTACAAGCAAGCTCCATATTCCAACAAATCCCCAATTAATTACATCAGCATTACTTGAAAAGTGCAGGAGGAACAGTTTGCAAAAGAAGCAGCTCATTAAACCCATAGTTATTAGTTATTAGCTTGTTATTAGCGTTCTTGGAAGAGACTGAGTTTAAAGCTCAAGATAAAGTCCTGAGGCAGAGGATGGACAGAATTGCACTTATTTTGTAAAAAAAATTCAGAGTATGGCAATGATGAAAACGAATGTATTTGCTTCCCCCCCATTTTTAAGTCACTATCTCACTTTTGAAAGAAACT